TTTTGACCCCAAACTAGTACCATTACACACATATACACATATATATACTTGTATCTTTCTTAAATAAATAATTTTGTACACAAAATATTTTCATATTGTACACAAGAAAATCAAAACAAATCCCCCAAAATTTCTTGCACAAGGCCGGCCAACCCCTAGAGCTACCATTAGAGTGTACCAATTTGAAACACATTGCTAAAATCATGGAGATTTGTCTTTGATTTAGGTACAATTTGAATATATATTTATATATATCTAATGTGCTTGTAACTAGCATGAATTAAATTAAATCTAAGCGTAACTAGATCATGTTTAAGTACATAATTAAAGTCATAATTGCAACTCATTTCATTTCATTATATTCTAACTAAATCAAAGAACTATTCAATGGAATTGGAACCACGGGCATTTTAGACAATTCACACCATTTCTTTTTATAAAACACCACCACCCTCCACATGTTACACATCTCATACATTCACACACCTACACATTCAGTTGAGAGAAAGAAGAAAGAGGAAGAGAGTGAACCTTGGTAGTGGAGGAGAGGAAAAGAGGAGAAAATTGTGCATGCACTTCACCTAAATTAGTGCAAAACTATCTTTTTCTACACCTATCTCTCATAATTTCTAAAGGAACACCTTCAATCTAAATTTTTGAGTTTAATATATACTATTTAGCATGTTTTTATTATAAAACAAGTGAAAAATTATCCTTAGTTACCCTTTTTTCTTACCTCCTCTCTTATTTCAAGCTTTGTGCTTAAAGAACCAATTTTCCAACCAACTTGCGAAAATTATAGAAAAATGTAGAAAAATTTCCTTGACCTCATTTTTATGTCAAAAACTTCCTTAAAGGGTTATCTTTCAAGTAAAATTGGTTTCATTGAAAGAGTGAGCAGTTTGAAAGAAAATCCGATTTTTGTAACGATTAATGAATCTGAACAGCGCTGGAGTGTTTCTTAAATAACTAAAAATCTAGAAAAGCTATCCCACTTCCGAAAAATGTTCTGAAAACTAGATAAATTTTCTAAAAACTATAGGAAGGCCAGGCTCGGGAAAAATCTGAAATGGTTCTTTTGATTTTAATCCTTAAATGGTATTGAATCGGGAAATTTATTTTTGCACTGGTGTTCTATGCTCTTATCTTCATGAATGTAATTATTAGTTTATGATCATGTCTTGGTATGATATTACACATGTCATGGTTATATACCTTTTATTTTAGTCCTTGATGATGCTCATACTTATGCAAATTTATTTTTTTTATTGGCTTGTGCTAACTAACTTAAAACATTAATCTAAACGGAAAACTTAATGAAGTGACTAATGGGGTTTCGATCACATGAGTATTGTTATGAGATAAGGTTATGTTTAAATTGAATTGGTTAGCGGGACGTGTTCCCTTTTGAAAGCTAGAGTCTTGCGCAAGTGGTTGTTTTAGAACCTTTGAACGGAGCGGTTTTATTCGGACCCTATGTGGTTTTGGTGTGAGAAGGGAATGGGCAAGGCCCTTATTTTACCGTTTCTTTTGAGGTTCTTGGTTGGCACTATGCGGTATGTAACCATTAGTAGGCATCAGAAGTAAGGTTTGCAAAGCAGGAAAAGATGGGGCATACCAAATAATTCGTGTCTGATTCTTGTTATTGGAATGATAAAATCTCTTTGGGGGATTTCTAGACTGCTAACAACTAACCTTTTAACCCTTGTTATTTACTTGAATATCTTGTTTCTTTCCCCTATTGTTGTAATTGCTATTGTGTATTAGATTGGAGAAAAGGGACGGAGTGTGTGTGCATTTACTAGGCATTCAAATCTCATGGCGTTTCATGCCAGGTATTAAAGAAACACACAAGGCTGACAAAGAGTCAGAGACATTTGAAGACTTGTGTCTGTTTTAGAGAAAGTTAGAAGCCATTTTGCTTATGAGTCTATTCGTGTTTTTATTTATTTTTTTGGATTGTAATAGTAATGGAACTTGTTTTGTAATTTAAGATTTGAAACACTGTAATTATTATTGTTTTTGTAATCCTATGCCTATCTTTGCGTTACTTATGAGACCTTGTGTTAATACCTCTTAAAATCTGTCAAAAAGATAGCTTGCTATTTAAGAAAGTTGGACTTAGAAAGGAGACTATATTGACTCCTCCGACCTTCCTGTGATCTTGTTTAGCTATTGACCAAGGGACTCTTTAGTGACGTTATCCTAGCCCTCACATATTGTGGACACAAATAAAGCATTAACGGATGCAAATGAATATTTGCGACTGGTTTGTGTTGGCAAAAGGAAAACACAAATATATAGGGTGGCAAAAAATATTTGCAATAAGGGGCAATCGTCACTAATTATTCGCAATCACAATATCAACATTTAACATCATTGGTGCGCTTTCGGTTGCATATAAATGTAAAAAGGTCACTTTTATTTGTGACCACTAGCTAGTTGACAATGTGACACTAAAAACTCTTTGTACAAAATTCTTGAGTGAGGTGGGGAATATGTAATTCTATTCGAATTTGTGTTTGTAGGTCTTTATAGATTTGTATAACTAGAAAGTGGGAGAAAGAGTTGTTAAACATCCAACCAATATGGAAGAGCTAGATGTTATAATATAAAATGAACCAGAATCTAGTCTAAAAGGTGAGATAATCTCAGATGGGCTGAGTTACAATAAAATGAACCAGAATCTAGTCTAAAAGGTGAGATAATCTCAGATGGGTTGAGTTACACTTGTACAAGTAAAAGATGTAACAGAGGCATAAAAAGATTGCTACCCAAGTGAGAAGCTTTGGTTGAGAAATCTCTTGAACATTCACATTTGCATAGGTGGTAGTACATATATGATGGTATATGATGGAACATGAATACAAAATGAAGTATAGATGTTGTGGTATAGTTATTTGGAATATGCTTATCCCCTAGCTCTTTGTATTTTACTATGCACATTTTGAAACATGAGGCACTTCTATTCAAGTTCAATGACATTGAATTTAAAGTTCTAAATTATTCTCATTTTTTCCCCATGCAATCTTAATGCAAGATAAACCATCTAGAATTATGAGCACAATTCATATAGTTTTCAAATTAAAGCATTTCTTAGAAAGAGCATTAATGACAGAGCTATGGCAAACACCTCTCCACATGCAACGTATGGGTATCTAACACGTGATGGACATGCGATGGACACGTGTCAGACACTCTATCTAACGTGTCCATAAATTTTATTTTATTTTTTTCCCAGCTAGACACTTTGCGGACATGCTTAGACACCTGAGAGACACGTTCATTTGGGGCACTACAGGGAGAGAGAGAGAGAGAGGGGAAGTCGCTCACTCTGAAACCCTAGGCGAAGTTATCGAAGCACTTAAAGGCCCCTATTGAAGCAATTGTAGGTAGATTTCTCTCTATTTCTCTTCTTTTTTTTCTCTCTTCTTTATTCTTCTCTGCTTCGCTTTCTTCTTCTTTTTTTTCCCCTTTTTTTTCCCTTCTTGCTTTCTCTCTTTGTTTTTTTCGTTTCTCTCTCTCCTCTTGTTTTCCTCCTTCCCTCTTGTTTATTTTAAATTATATATTTGTTGAATTTAAATTTCCCTCATTTTTATGAGGTCAGCCACTAAAGAAGTGAACAAAACTTTGCTACCCCTATATTTTTCAATATTCGCCTTTAGCATTCTTTTCATGAGCATTCATAGAACAAATTAATTTTATTTGAAGAAAATATAAATTTATTGAAATTGCTGAATTTATTTTATTAGGTAAAGTGCTAAAATATTGATGAATAGATGATGGTTGGTTGTATATATATTTTTAAAATAGTTGTTAATGTTATTTTGTATTTTTTTAAATACTTTCAATGTTTTGTGCTTTTAAATTTCATGTTATATAATAAATAAATAAAATTATACATTTTGAGGATTGTTGTGTCCCATATTTTTTGAAAATTTGCATGTTATCGTGTCTGTATCCGTATTCGTGCATCTTAGACTCTTGTAGATTGGATATGGCTTGTAAAATGCTTCTATTTGATTTAAGCGAAAAACTAGTTACACCCAATTCTTGAAATTTCTAATTTCATGACATATATCCATTTTAATTAATAAATTATGAAGTCAATTAATTATTTTTACTAATTTCTGAAATTTGTTTTAATTAATAATTTAAATAATTTAATTATTATATAAAAAAATATTTAAAATATTTATTTTTAATTAATTTTATTAAATAAAAAATTATAACAAAAAAGTTTTTGTAAATCTATAATTTAACCGAACCTGTGTGTCATTTTTGGCCTTGTTTGGGAAGTTGTCTATTTTAGTAGGCTATTTTAGTTTTTAGCTATTTATGTAGGCTAAAATTTTTATATTTGGAAAGATGGTTAAATTTTTTTATAGTTAGATGTGATGTTTGTGAGAGAAAAAGTGAAATGATTATGAATTTAATGTGACATTTTACCTTATTAGTTATTAAAGTCTATTTTGTCTTTTTATAAATTTTAACGCAAAAAACCAATTTCTATCCTTTCCCAAACTAGGATTGAGATGTCGTTTGAGAAGTGGGTTGGCTTTTTAGTTTTTTTTTTTTTTGACTATTTTAGCATGGGGTTAAAAAAGCCTAGTTTGTGAAGGACTTTTTGACTTTTTTGTAAAAGAAAGAATGTAATGATTAGGGGTGTGCGCGGTGTGGGTCGGTGCGGTTCTTTTTATAAATTTTAACGCAAAAAACCAATTTCTATCCTTTCCCAAACTAGGATTGAGATGTCGTTTGAGAAGTGGGTTGACTTTTTAATTTTTTTTTTTTGACTATTTTAGCATGGGGCTAAAAAAGCCTAGTTTGTGAAGGACTTTTTGACTTTTTTGTAAAAGAAAGAATGTAATGATTATGAGTTAGATGTGATGTTTTGTCTTACTAGGCTAAAAAGTTTATTTTATTTTTTGCAACCAAAAAAAAAAAAAAAAAAAAAAAAACTAAAAAACAAACCCAAAAGGCCTCTTCCCAAATTAAAGCTGGTTCCAAACGAACCCTTTCCCTGATTCATCGATCCCGCGCTGCTGCTACTACCTCTTTCATTCGAATTAGACAAAACCTAACCTCTACCCCTCTCTCTCGCTCTCTCTCTCTCACCGTTTTCTCGACTCAGATGTCTCAGCCCATCTCAGTAGACATTCTTTCCGATGACGACGATGATCAAAACGAACCAGAAAACGATCCCCTCTCAACTCCATTTCCAATTCAATCAAAGAGGCAAAGGACTGAACCACCCTTTTCAAACCCTACAGTTCTCCTCATTGATGACGACCACCCAACCCCTCTCAAGCGGCCCTCCTTCGTACCCGAAACCCCAATCTCTCCTTTCTCCAATTCCGATGTAGCCATTGTTAAGTGCATCAAAGCCCCCTCTGCTCCCCACAAGTTTTCTGGTGAGTTGTGTTTCATTCCCTGTTTCTATGATCCACTGTCTGTTTTGAGCGCATTTTTTTTACGTGTTATGGTTCTAGTTCTAGTTTGTTTGCTGCAAGTTTTTATTTTTTGGCAATTATGTTAGCATGTTTTTGTTTAGACATTGGCATAGGTTACCAAACACAACAGGGCAAAAACCCCGGTGGGTGATATGTAAGCTGTTGTTATAGACTAGTATAAGATGAACCAGAATACAGTCTAAATGGTGAAACAATCTTAGATGGGCTGAGTTATGGTCAGTTGTACAAGTGAAAGACGTAACGGAGGCATTAAAAGATTGGAACCCAAGTGAGGCTGACATCTGACATCTGCATAGGTAGCACATATATGACATCTGCATAGGTAGCACATATATGACATCTGCCTAGGTAGCACATATATGATGGTAGATGATGGAACATGGATGCAAAATGAAGTATAGATGTTGTGGCAGAGTTGTTTGGAATATGCTTATCTCCTAGCTCTTTGTGTTTTACTTTGCACGTTTTGAAACATGGGGCACTTCTATTCAAGTTCAAGGACAATGAATTTTAAATTCTAAATTATTCTAATTTTTTGCCCCATGCAATCTTAATGCAAGATAAACCATCAAGATTTATGAGCACAATTCATCCAGTTTTCAAATTAAAGCATTTCTTAGAAAGAGCATTAATGAAAGAGCTGTAGCACACCAAGAACTCTTGTGGATTGGATATGGCTTGTAAAATGCCTCTATTTGATTTGTTCAAGCAAAAAACTAGTTACTAAGTAAGTGGACATGACCATGTTAGTGGAACTAACTTCATTCTTTCTTACGGTTTTAAAGAATAGAAAACCACTTTCTTAATTGAAAAAAATCTCGTCACATTCTATGCCATTGTACCATATTCTATGGCATCGTTCATTGTCTTCCTCTTCCCATTCCATGTAAGCTATGAAGCACCGACAATTCACAACAAGTGCTGTAGTGGTGTCGGACACATGGCCATGACAGGGACACGTACGGGACATGCCACATGGTGTATCTCTTTATTTAATTAATTATTGTTTTTTTTTTCAAGGGATATGATGAGGACACACTAGGGACACGCTATGAACATGCTAACTAGTTTTTCTCTCCCTATTCATTAGTTTTTTATTTTGATTTTTTATGGATTAATATAAATAGAAAATAAAAATATATAAAAATATTTTTTATTGCTGTGTTCCTATTGTGTCTCTATATTTTTTTGAAATTATTGGCCTTGTTTGGTTTGTTTTGGGGAGAGTAATTTTGCAGAAAATTTTTCAAAATTTTGTTTGGTTTAGTGATTTTGAAAATTTTTTTCCAAAAACACTTTCTCTCTACTCCACATCAATCGATCACTTTTTCTCTCTCCTCTTTCCTTCTCAATCACTTTTTCTCTCACACACATCTACTCAACTACAACAAAACATCAAATCATCCCAAACTCCCATACTCCAAAATTATTTCCAAAATATACAACCAAACAAACCAAAAAAATTTCTAAACTTTCTCTCCAAAATATTTTTTGAAAATTTATCTCTCAAAACCAAATCAAACACACCCATCATGTCTTGTTTCCATGTCTGTGTCTGTGTTTGTACTTAGCATGTAAGGAACAATATGCTCTCCTTGTAACATTTAATAGCAACCTAGAAAGTTTTGAGTTCTCTAAGGTCTCTGTAACTATATCTACTTGTCAAATCCTATAGCTTTCTTCTTTTAGGATTTTTGTTTACTATTGTTTTTTTTTGTTTTTTTTATTTTATTTACGAAGCTAACTACATTCTTCAAAGCATCCCTTTGAATTCTTGATGATTACAGTTGAACTTGAGAAAATTTGGCCATGTGCCTCCATAAGAACCAAGTGTTTTCGGCAATTGAGACATGAAAGATAATTAGCTTGCTTGGTTGTGCTTTTCCAAAAACACTTTTTAGAAAATTTTACATTTTTGTTTTCCGTATTTTTTTGTTTTTACTGATTTTTTTTAATATTTTAAGTATTTTTTTTTTTTACTTTTTAGACATACCTAACATAAATATACCTAAAAAGTAAATAATTTGTGAAAAAAACCTTTTAAACCACTACACACTCCACTTCACCTAACCCACTATCACCTCCACTACACCTACTACCACATTTTCTTCTATATATAGATTGTATAGGAATTGTAATTAATGCATCTTGTAATCTATCAATCAAGACATCAATCAATAATACATAAATTCTTACATTTTAAGTATTTTTTTTTTTACTTTTTAGACATACCCAACATAAATATACCTAAAAAGTAAATAATTTGTGAAAAAAACCTTTTAAAAATTCACTAAATACCAAAAATACAAAAAAAAATACGAGAATTCAGTACATTTTTTGTATTTTTATGTATTTATTAAAATTTTAAAATATTTTTTCACAATTTTTTTACTTTTTAGATACATCTAAGTAAAGTGCATCTAAAAAGGTGAAAAAAATGTTTAAAATTTTAAAAATATTCACTAAAAACAAAAAAACACGAAAATCAAAAAATTGAGTTTTCAAAAAACTTAATTCAAAAAACTCAAACCAAACACACTGAATAGTATTGCTCTAGTTTCTAGAATTATTAATGCATTAGTGGTTCTAGTGTTGTGGACATGGGATAAGATCCATGTAGAAGCTTAAATGCCTCTTGCAATCCAATATATAATTGGCCAAGTCATGTTTCATTTAAAATTTTTGAATCTAATTCATTTTGTTCAGTTTGGTGGATTCATTGAGGCAATTGATTCATTTTACCAGACTGTAGAGGTTCTAAATATATATTGTACATTGGCCATGTTTGATTCACAGACATGATTAGAACGATAAACAATGCCATGGGATAAGAGGAGGCATAAGTAATACCGTGAGATAATGGATGAGGTTATGTTTATCATAAGATTATTTATATTATGTTTAATTAGGATGGAATAAATGAGGGGATAAGAGAATTTTTACTGTTGGATGGAGAGGGAAGATACTATGGAGGTATTTGCAACTAATCCCATGGGGGTGGGAGTATAAGTTATGCCCCCATTTAATTCCCTATATGGGGAATGATAACCAAGGTTTTAAATAGCGATAGTTGGATAAAAAGTGGTAACAGTATAGCTAGTATCAATCAATAATATCTATTGGGAATTTGGTTATGCAATATTGAATTTTTTCAAATTATTAGCAACATCACTAAAACTCAATTATATACAAATATTTTTTTTTTTGGCTTTCCAAATCTCAATGTGCCATATTTTAATAGATATTGTGACATCTACAAATATGTTTTTTTTTTTTTAATTTAATTTTTTTATTATCTAAAAACCACGAACACTTCTAGAAGGTGACATCTCTATGTCGGACACTGACACTCGTTAAACACTTCCTAACACGTGTTCGACACTCGTAAAAAACGTGTTTGATTTTTTAGATTTTTTTAAGACCCAGTCACTCTTTGAACACTTAGAAGACAAGTGTCCATGGATTAGACACACATGAAACAAATTATAAGGTTGAGCAAAATAACCTAGGATAGAATGATAAAAGAAAAATGATGTAAATTTATAGAAATTAGTGTTGTCATACCATTTATTAAAATTATCTTTCAATGATATATTTATATATATGACATATGATATAATAAATATATAAACTATATTTTTATGCATGTCCACCACGTGTTGTGTTATGGATTTTTAAAAAATTGTTGTGTTCGTGTCGTGTCATGTCTATGTTTGTGTTTTTTAGTTTTTTATATTGATATATTGATGAGAACATAAGTTGTCAAGACAATTCTCGTTACTGCAATTTCACCACATAAAATTCATTTGGCCAAAACAATAAGGGTTCTGTTTGATGCAACTTCTGGCAAACTAATAGCTAATTGTAACCTAAATGCAGAAGTTAAAAGCATACCCTTCAAATCTACCTAATAATTTTGTCTCATAAGCTGAATGCATAAGTTACACCAAATATACTAGCATACAATCTATGTATTTTTGTAGCGCAAGAATGTTATACTTTTGGTGTCTCTGTTTCAAGTTTTTATGGATTGGTAATGAAATGGGTTTTAGTGCAGTTATGGTTAAAATTTTTTGGTGGGTTTAAAATGTTAATTTTGATAATGGTTATGTGTCTGTAGCTGAAGAATGTAGTGGATTTTATTGGACCTGTTTTCTTATTCATCAGGAGTCAGTGGATTAATATGTTTGGAGTCTGACAATGAGTCTGAAAATAGTTCCGGGAAGGGAAATTGGAAGCATGATGAGACATTGGGTATTGCTTTTGATGTGGTAAACAATTCAGAATTTAGCTCCAGACTCATTGGATCTGCATTTTCTCTTGGTAAGTTCAGTTAGTCAAAATACTTTTTCGTATGTGATTCTGGAACTTCTGAACTCGGGGATGAATCTTGAAAAAGAGGGAAAATACCCATTATTTGGAATCAGCTGTTATATGTTTTTGTGGAAGGTACGGAAGAAGGATTACCAGGGCATGAGAATTTAACACAAATGTCTGGGGAGAGTTCTTTGCATCTAATGTCTTCTAAAGATGTTATCCCCCAGGTAGTTCTTCGTTGAGTATGATGATAATATGTTTTTATTTTAATTTTATATCATTTCCTTTTTTTCTTGTTGCATATATTATCTACAACTGCGTCTCGTCGTCAAATTTAACTTGGCCTGATGGAGATGATCATTCTGTCAACACTTGAGATTGCTGACATCAGGAGAAGTTTAACTTAGTGGCTGCCTGATGGGTGACAATCATCCCTTTTTAGCCTCAAAATCATAGCATATCTGGTCCTATTAAACTCTTAAAAGCTTCCCTACCTTTTGGCCATAAATTTAATACTTAAAAATCTTAACTTGGTGGCTGTCCAGTGTTTTTTGCAACATTTATATTGGAAGATCCAGCAATGTGACAATTTTTGACGCAAGCAAGTTTCAGCCTCATTTCATTTACAAACCTTAGAACCTCTCTTTAATCTTAGAATCCTAAACCTATAGCTTTCTTTTGCCCTATGCCACCAGGCAGCATTAGTCCAAGTTTTCTAAATCTGTTCCACATAGGTATTCTCTTGGGTAATTCTATTCACACATCACAAAAAGGCGCAGTACACACTATTTATGCCGTTCAAATATGAACTTCCAAACAAAAGTCACATGTTCTGACATGATCTTATGAACAATAAGTAGTTGTTTGGACACAAACAGTTGAATGTAATGTATATCTGAACAATTCATTTTTGTTCAAATGTCCGAACATTTGACTTTTGTTCAAAAGTTTATATCCAAACAACTCAAATGGTGTGTAGAAAGGTTTCCTGTGGTGTGCGAATAGAATTTCTGTATTCTCTTAAATAAACTTTCTTACTAAATGCACTAAAAATGGAATTCTAGTGAGTGTAAAACTCTTCAACATCTGTGGTGAGAGCTTTGATCATGCCGGCTCGTCGACCTTTGAAATCCCTAAAAACCTCTTCGACAGTGCGAGGATTGTACTGAGCTCCTCCGTCCATTAGAAGCAGAGAGAAAGTGATAAAGAATAGGGTTTCTGGTGTTTGGTTTGGTGATGTTGTTGAAAAACTCCCGCGGGCAGCGAAGGCAAGGTTGCCGGCCGGCTGCCCGCCGGAAAGAAAGGAGTATATGCCTAAATCTTATCGCTCTGATACCATGTAAACAAATGATGTATTATTGATTGATATTTGATTGTCAATTACAATGATTCATGATTCCTATATATAGAAGAGGGTGAGTGTGTAGTAGGTAAGGAGTAGGTGAAGTGGAGGTGGTAGTGGTGTAGTGGGTTAGGTTTAGTGGAGTAGGTGAGGTGGTAGTGGTGTAGTGGGTTAGGCTTAGTGGAGTAGGTTTAAGTGGGTGAAGTAGGTGGAGAGTGGGTGAAGTAGTGGGTTAGGTTTAGTGGAGTAGGTTTAAGTGGGTGAAGTAGGTGGAGAGTAGGTGGATTTTAACACAAACAACTCAAATGGTGTGTAGAAAGGTTGTGCGAATAGAATTTCTGTATTCTCTTAAATAAACTTTCTTACTAAATGCACTAAAAATGGAATTCTAGTGAGTGTGAATTAGGTTAAGCTTTTAAGAGTTAAAGAAGTTCTCCAGATAACTAATTCTCTATTGTTGTTATGCAAATTATTTTTGTAGTTTTTTGGACGGGTAAGTTTTGTTTACTATTTCCAGAATCTCACCAACTTAGAACATAGTCTAGCACCTAATTCATAGAAAATAGAGCAGTGATTTTGTGTACTTTCTAGGAATTTGGCAATATTAAGTGTTGCTGTTACACTTTTTAGGACTTTCCTGTGCTACAATACTATGGATTAGATTATTGTTAAAGTTGTTCAGAGAAATGATTATGGTTTTTTCTGTAATCCTATGGCTGCATTTTTATGCTTTTTCTTGTCTTATACTTCTAAATTTGAGTTCCTTTTCAAAAAATCTTTATTGCAGTGTATATGGAACAGATCATGTTAATATTTGTCATATTCTTATTTGGTGGTTGGCAATATTATGAGGAAATTTTGTTTAGGTAAATGATATTCTTGATGAAGAAATTGATAGACTGGAGTCAACGGGGAATCTTTTGAGACAGAATAGTAGAAGTAAGGTCAGTGCAGATATGGAAAAAAATGTGGATGGAGGAAACGGAAAAAAGAGGATGACAAAGGAAGAAAAAATTCGCTTAAAGGAAGAAAAGAAACAACTGAGAGAAGTGAGTCTTTCACTAATACTACTTAATTTGGTTTAAGCTTGCTTTTATGTATGATCTAATTGATGTACATTTCTAGATGTATGAACTGATTGATGTACATTGTCCAGCAAGAGAAGTTGCAAAAAGCAGCTATGAAAGCTGAGGCTGCAGAGCTGAAAAAATTACAAAAAGAAAAGCAAAAGTGGGAGAAGGGGAAGTTTGCTTTAAAATCTGTTGTGGCTGAAATTGATACTAAAGTAGTTGAACTGGGGTCGGTTGGAGGTATGACCTTTCTAATATTCTTCAGTTCAGTTGGACGTAGATTATTCATGGTACTGTCATCTACTCCCTACATCTGATAATGTGCTGAATAAGCTTTTACTTTCGTAGTTTAGGACACCTACTTACAAGGTTTGCGGAGAAAGGTCTTACATTCCGGATAACACCAAATCCAATTGAAAGATCTATATTGTGGAATATGTCTGTTCCTGAAGAAATTTCACAGGTAATCTGTGCTTGAGGATGTGCAAACATATGTGGAAGATCTGCCATCTTTAAGCATCTCTTTTCTTATATGCTTCATGCAGTTTTTATCATAATCCGCTTTTGCACTGAGCAACATATTATCTTTGTGACTTTTCTCAAAGTGGTACACTCAACTCAATCATTAATCCAGGGTTGAATTAAGATGCACTTTCATCCTAACAGAGCACTGGAAAAGGTCAAGTTATATGCATTTTATAGAGAACATGTCCTCTCTCAAGTTTGAAGGTTTATGAAGGAGGGAAGTGTAGACGCCCCATTTTGACCGGCCTTAAGATTTTGGTGCTTTCTTCTGAACACCCAATGATGAAAATTGGAATGTGCTAGCTTATGAATTTCTCAGTAGAAAAATCGAATTTAACCTTTAATCCCAACTTTCACCTGTTTTGGCAAATTGTTTTAGACCGTGTTTGTACATATTTTGGGTGTTTTTTCTGAACTGTTTAACGCTTTCGGGTAACCCCCGGGCACTTGACAGATGGTTCTTTATGGTATTATTAAGTATTAAATATAATCAATGACTGGGCTTTTGCTGGTTGTACTTTTGTGCACAAGTGACTTTGGAGGAAGAAAGTTTTCAATTTGTAGGTTTTTATTTAACTTCTTTTCTACCCAATGAGTTTGTCTTTCCTATCAATAGGACTAAAAAAGTTGTTTGCTAGATGTTCATTTAATCCTTAGTCATTTCCGTTGGTTGTCTGTACAACTTGGTTTATACCCACTTATAGCATTTTTACGGTCCATAATATTTCTTCCATGTCTTACTATTCTTGTTTTGAAACCTGCAGACACCTTAGGTTATTTATGCTTGTCTGTTACTTAAAATTGTGGCATTTGACAACATGTATTTAACTATCATCCTTTTGAGTTGTTGGCTGCTGGGGATTCTGTAGCCATGTTTTCTTCTCTAAAATAGGAGATTTCTTCTCTTTTCTTCTTTTAAGGAAAGAAACAGACTCATTAAGTTATTACAGTGCCTTGACCTGTGCTTGGAGTGGTTTATTTTCAACCTTTTCTATCATTGGCTGCTTTTTTTTGCTTGGAGCAACAATTAAAAATCTATCTTGATCTTCAACAACTTGTTTATCCTCCCACACTCCAGTGTGATGGAACCAGTAATGATCTTCAAAACCTGTTTATAGGGTTTGCAAATGAAGGATAATGGAACAAATTTTATTAAAAGAACAGCTATCTGATATTGAGTGCAAGAACCTTCAACCATAAATTCAGATAAAATGGTGTTATATGTAACATTAAATGTCAAAAAGAAATTTTACTTATTTTATAGCAATTATTCAACCATATATGTGTATATATATATATAGTTTAATACAAGCATAAGAAGTGGCCAATGGAAAATTTCAAATACATATCTCACTCCCTTGTAAATATAATGATTTGCTTTTGGGTTTTCTAGCGGAACACATCACTTTTTACCATCTTTCGAAAGATATTGACCTTGCTCTTGTATTGCAGCTTCCCTCTGATGGATTCGATATTCAATATGTATTAATTGTATTTGAAGCCGAAGAGTTTTGCAACCTTGTTACAAATGAATCTCTTCTCATGGATCATGTTTCCAGTGTTCGAAGCCGTTATCCATCTCATACAATTTGCTATCTCACTAATAGGCTGATGGCATATATCAATAAAAGGTTGATGATGACTCTCTTATAGACCCTTTTATGCTTGTTTGTTTATATTTTTCTGGTCACTTTTACCTTTTATATTTTCTAAATTATTTTAGTTCTTATATTTTATAATGGTAGGTGTTGGGCATTTGAATCTCTCTCTGCTAAGTTAGTCATCTATTTTTGTTTGTTATTTGTTTTCTCTTTATATAACAGAGGTGTCAGAGAATCAATTTGGGTTATGCCTGGTAGGTCAACAATGAAAGTGATTTATCCTTTGAGGAGAGTAATAGAAAAGTATAAAGAAAATAAAAGAGACATTCATATGTTGTTTATTGACCTTGAGAAAACATATGATAGAGTGCCCCGGGATATGATATGGTGGGTGTTAGAGAAGAAAGTGGTGGCAAAATGTTACATTGATGTGATTAGGGACATGTATGAAGAGGTGGTGACCATTATTAGATCGCCTACTGGAGAGACAAATGAATTTCTTATCACTGTAGGGTTACACCAAGGATCTACCTTAAGTCCTTACTTTTTTGCTTTAGTTATGGATGAGTTGACGAGAAATATTCAAGATAACGTACCATGGTGTATGCTTTTTGCAGATGATATCGTGCTAGTGGATGAGATTAGAGAAAGAATTAACATAAAGTTGAAAATTTGGAGAAAAGCTCTTGAATCTAAAGGATTTCGGATAAGCAGAACTAAGACAGAGTGTATGGAGTGCAAATTTAGTAATAGTAACAATGAAAACAGAGGAGAAGTGAAGATTGAGAACCAAGAAATGCCTAAGAATGAACATTTTTGTTATTTAGGATCGATTATCACAATAGTAGGGGAGATTGATGCGGATGTGGCCCATAGGATTAAGGCGAGATGGTATAAATGGAGAAGTGCGTCTGGGGTACTATGCGATAAACGAATACCTACTAGACTAAAAGGTAAATTCTATAGAATGGCTATTGGACCAACGATATTATATGGGATGGAGTGTTGGGCAGCCAAGAAACAACATGTTAATAAAATGAGTGTGGCTGAGATGAGGATACTAAGGTGGATGTGTGGTAAGACTAGACAAAACAGAATTAGGAAATGGGTAGTAGTAGCACCGATAGAAGATAAGTTGAGAGAGAATCAATTGAGATGGTTTGGTCATATTCATCGGAGACCAACAGAGGCAGTAGTGAAGAGATGCGATGCTGTAACGGTAGATGAGAGTGTTAGGAGACGAGGTAGGCCTAGATTAACGTTGGCTAGCATTGTAAATAGAGATATGGATCTACTTAATTTGACTAACGAAATGGCCTTTGATAGAGCTGCGTGGAGAAGAAAGATTCATGTAATCGACTCAATTTGATGGGATTTAAGGCTTGGTTTGGTTTGGTTTATTCTCTTTATCTTGATCGGTACAACTTTTGGTCAGATTTTGCTATTCTTAAGAGGAAAAGCGAAGCATAATTTTATAAGCATAATTTTTAGGAATGAGAGTGTAAAAATTAGTTATCGGAATATAATGGAATGCAATCTCATAATAAAGTCTGCTAAAAAAAAATCGTATAATAAAGTGTACTAACAAATTGATGAAGGCTAACTATTGCTAAATTTTCACTCTATACTTTTTTTAGCTTACATTCAAAGCAATATGTGTTTTGTTTTATTATAATTTATTTTTAAGGTAAATTTACTGCAAAATAATTTTTTTAGATGATTGCTTTTATCTATTAACCCATATTTGTGAATCTTTTACTGGGTAGTGTCAGTCTTATATTCTCTGATTGAAATGGAGAGTGTAGTGATCTATGTTAGCCCAAAGGGTTGAAACCGTGACAAGGAACCAAGTGCCCCACTTGATATTCTGGCCAATCCAATCCTCATTGGACTTCTTATTCAAGTGAGATGATGATTGTTTTTGGCTTGTTGAGTCAAGTTGTTGCTGCCACTTGTCTTTTTTAAAATGTTTTTTTCTTTTTCTTTTGACCTTTTCATGGTGTTTTTTGACCTCACCAACACTGATTAAGTTTGAATTTTGTGGGTTTTATGCTTCAAATGGTAAAATTTGTTGTTTGGTACCTCTTTTTAAAGTCCCTAGTGTGGATAAGTGAAATTATGCATTGATTCTCTTTTCTGTCTATTACAAATGGTTCCTTATATAGATGTAGGTGTAGGTGTAGTGGGTTAGGTTTAGTGGAGTAGGTGAGGTGGTAGTGGTGTAGTGGGTTAGGTTTAGTGGAGTTGGTGAGGTGGTAGTGGTGGTAGGTTTATTGATAAATTTTAACAGAAATTATAGTAAGCAGGCAACAATCAAAATAAGAAATATGATGAGCTAAGCAAGACAGGTATCACGTTTGAACTCTATAGCATGAAAAATAAATGCTTGTATAGTGCAGTGCAGTTATCATGAATGAATATATAGGAATACTCAACAGAAACTTTGATAAACACCTGAATCCGAAAATATTAGGGAAAAGCAATCACATACAAGGAGGCAAGTGAAGGTCAGTTTGTGTATCAGAAGTTGGCCGAAGTAATTATCATCCTTGGTTAGTTTATGACTTTTAAATCATGTTTGCTAATTAAATATAGAAGAAAAAACTACTACGAGAAAGCAATTTTTTTTTTTATAAGATTTCCAAATTTGTTTCCTAAGTAAATATATTAGAAAGAAACTACTGCAACAAAATAAAAAAAAGAAAGATGAACTTTAAAAATATTTGCATACACATAGGGTTTTGTTTCAATTATTACTCACTATCTTGTGTTTCACTCAACTATTGGCTATTTTAGGACTTCTGAATTGTTGGATTTGGATAATTCAGCTTGAAAAAGGTAATAGTTGAGGAGTAAGTAAAGACTATTAACAAATTTGTAATTCCAAATGGTTCTGGTTCTGGTTCTGGTTCTGGTTCTCATGAAATTTGACAAGATTTATGATTGAAAATATTTTGTTGAATGTTATTTGCTTCTATACTGTTGTCATTATGTATCCCTTCTTAGAAGTATCAACATTGTAGTTGGCCATCTCCATAGAAGAAGTTGTCTTGAGTTTATTCCTTTGTACAGTGGCTATATTCAGGTGGTAAAACTTGTCTTTACTGGGTCAATGCATCCAAACGAGCTTTATTCTTTCTCAAACATACCATGCTGGTAAGGAAGTAAGCTTTATTGGATAGGTTATGCAAGATGACTTAGGAAACTTGGAGTGTTGCTGCTTACAATAGGAATCGTGGTGGTTTTTGGTTTGGAAAGCTTCTAGGGTTAGGATTTTATGAGGGAGAAGAAAGTTTCTAAGGTTTCTAAATGTAAAAAGTTTTAGCTTAATTTTTGAAATTTAAGTTTGCAAGATTTTCTGGCATTAGTCGCTGGATTTTCGGGGCAGTAGCTATTTTATGGTGTTTCAGTGTACATTTGTGACCAAAGGGTGGGGAGAAAGGTTGGGGATGATTTGAACTTGATTGGCTAGGGTTTACGGGCTGAAAGGGAGGTGGTTAGGTATAGAACACCTAGGGGCGTGAGGCAACTCTCTCTAATGGGCTCTGTTTGGTTCAATTTTTGAACCAATTTTTCAAAATCCAAAATCCAAAACCCAAAACTTGTTTTGGTTTAGGATTTTTGAAAACTCATTCCAAAATCCAAAACTCAAAGCCCAAAACTTGTTTGGTTTAGGGTTTTTGAAAACTTATTCCAAAACCCAAAACTTGTTTGGTTTAGTGTTTTTGAAAACTTATTCCAAAACCCAAAACTTGTTTGGTTTAAGATTTTCATAAAATCAATTTTGTTTGGTTTTCACAAATTGGCCAAATAAATTTTTATGTTTTTGATATATATGAAGAACGCAAAAACAAATTTAACAAATACATAAAACATTAAAATTGTATTAATTTTTAAACTAGGTCAATTTTTATTTTTATTTTGCATATTTCTCATTATTTATTAATTTTATAAAAAGTTACATTTAAATGTGGAACGTTTTAAATGTATGTAGATTGAGTGGATATAAAATCAGAAAAGAAGTGTTAAAATTTTTAAAACGTTCATAAAAAAGAAAAAATATGGAGTGAAACTTTGCTGTATAGATGCATCTTTTAGTGTATACAAAAAGTGCAGTTTTTGGAGTTTTTTAGTGTATACAAAAAAATATATGAAAGGAGTAAACAAATTTGACTATAATATTGCAAAAAAAGTTTTGACTACAAGGCAAAAAAATACAAGACCCAAAAAAGCTCAAATTAGTTTTGAAAAGTCATAACCAAACAAGTTTTAAATTTTCAAATTTCTAAAAATTATTTCCAAAATATACAACTCAAAACTAGTTTGAAAACTCGTAACCAAACAAGTTTTGAATCTTTTCACAAAATTATCTTTCAAAACTTATTTCAAAACTAAACCAAATGCACCTACATTAGGTATTGTTCCTCCAATGGTCGTATGCTTTATCGGTTAGGCAAATTCAAACAAACAAAAAATAAAAATCTCATAACTCAAATCTCTTTATTGAAATAAGTGTGGGAAAGAGGTGTTTCATCCTTGGAAGGGTTAGGCAATTTACACAAACACAATCTCAAATTCTCATAATTCAAATATCTTTATTGAAAGGAAAGATTACATGTGTATTTATATGCTTCTATAGTTTTGCTACTTAAAGACTGCTTTCATAATTAGAAGTAATTTTGACCAACTAGAATATTGAAGACCTAACAAAGACTATGAAAGGCCTAATAACACAATTGAACCCGTAAGAAGACCCATGAGCAACCCCTACAATCCATGTTTAGAAAATATCAAAATTACCAAAATACTCCTAACTCCTAAACTTAAATGTAATGACATAAAATTTATTGAACAACATATTAAATGTAAATAATCACAAATAAAGGCTTTAAATTATTTCCAAACTTCATTTCATGATGCCCTAAACTTGCACTCTGTGAAATTCTAGATTCGCCCTTTTGTTCTTTCTATACTGTTCACTGATGGGTTTCAGACTTTGAACTATAATGCTCTTGGTGTAGTTATATTGGGTATGAATGTTGGTGTATATTTAAATCATGTCCATGTGGTGTGTTAGTGTCTACTTCCTAAGGAGATATTATTATGTATCTAAAATAACAATAAATTATGTCAAAATTAAGGATGCCATGGAAAGCCAAACTGTATTTTAAGTGGGTTGTCTAAAATATTAGCATACTTAAAAAGAAAAAATAAAAAAATTCTTCTTTGTTGAGAGCCAATTAGCATTGACACAGAGATGTCAATTCAACAATTTAACAAAAAATGCAGAACATGATATGCCTAGAACATATTAATATATATAAATATATATATTTATGAATTTATTTGTCAAATATCTGATTAGTTTATTCAAAGATAATGAAAAAAAAAGATGCACCGATTAAAATAGAAAAAACATATATTTCATAACTTAAAGATCAAGATATCATTCACTTAATAATCTAAAGAATGCAAAACAATTCTAGAACATTACAATACACATGATGTATTCAACTTATAAATGTTTCAAATTGCTCAATTTGGAGTGCACAAGTTGCATTCTGAAGAATGTAAAACATTGTTACTATGAAGAGATTCATCATAGGTTGTCTTTGGAGTGTTCAAGAAGTATCGCCGAGTGTCTGTAAAGTGATTGATATTATGAATTTGAAATTTTCATTAAGACATTTTAAAAGAAGTGTCGAACATGACATGTTTTAGGATTGTTTGTAGAGTGTTGTGTCCGACATGATACTTCTCCTTCGTAGAAATGTCTGTGCTTTTTTGATTTAGAGACAGCGGAGATGCTTTTGACTGGTTAAGTTTGCTTTTAGGTTAATTTATACTCTTTGAACGTGTGTTGGGCTGATTAGAAATGGGAATCTGCCATGACGTCCATTGGCTTGCATCATTAGTGGTTGAATATAAAAATTTAGTTATAAGGAACTTTGCTTATTGACTAATTTGATAGTGGCCCTTAGAGCCCCATCCTCTTGTGGATATGTTCCATTTGGTTTCTGTTCTGCAGTTGTTGCCATTCTATTATATTGCAGCTCCTGTGACTGAGACTGTGCATGTTGGTTGCACTGACTCAATCCCCTTCTCTTCTGCACTAATTCAACAAATAAATGTATTTAATAGATCAAGACCGGCCTATAAAAGCTTCTAACTGCGGGCCTTATAGTTGAACCTGGGCTGGAGGGTGTTTTATTTGAATTGCAGCTATCACATGGATAATCTGGCTGGTCTTGACCCTGTGTGGCTCCCTTTTAAATATCTGCTTTTTCTTTTGTGTCTGCTGCTTTCTATTTTTTCCCTTCAGTTCATTTGTTCGTTTGTTTTTTTTTGTGTGCCCCTTGATCCCCACCTGATTGGGATACAAGGGTTTGTTTAGTTTGGTTTGGTTTGGTTTTTTTTATATTTTATTTTATTTTTTTCCCCCTTGATGTCTCCAATTGCTGACACATATATGAAGCATTGTTTGCAAGGAGTTGGAAAAGAAAAAAAAAAAGATGTTGGAATTTCAGAGTTCAATCTGAAGGCGATAGTGGTTAGGTGAATAATGGTGTCCAATTGGACCAGCAAACAGTTTTATGGTTTTTTTTTTTTTTTTTAATTTATTTTTCTTAGAATATAAAAATTTAGGTGATCAATTCCAGGGCTAATAAATTACTTTTTATTTATCAAAAAATTAAAAAAATTACTTTGTGGCAGGTTTATTGTCCTGGAACTTCCCACCCATGAGAAGCTTGTGCAGTATCTCTGCCGGGTTTTCGTTGAAAATAAATAAACCCTTTGTCCATCCTCTTTATAATAAAATGCAGCAATGTGCAGATCATTGGCAGTGAAATGAGATTATGTCACACTGCTCTTGTGATTAAAATCTTCTTTTCTATATATCGTGTACTCTTAGATTGCCGAGTGGCAGAAGTAGGAAAAAGAAAAGGAAGGTAACAGAAGTAACTAGTGAGTAGTCCCTATGATTGTGTAATCCCCTGCAACACGGGCAATTACTGGGATAAGTCCTTGGGGATGGCACCAAGTAGGATGGCATGAATGATCTCCACTTCCCATAAAAGTACTTCCTATGTAATCTTCCTTGGGGTTATACAGATTTTCATATGGTAGAATGATAACAAGGTATGTTGCAACCATTTTAAAGATGTACTATTTGTTATGTGTTAGGGAACAAGGACAGTACAAGAACCCTGCAAATTGTAGCAGATGGAGGCGCCCGCCTGTTGAGGAGGTTGTTTGATGATTAAGTTTTAATGTACAAATATTTGGGAAATTTCTGCTCTCTAGCTTTACTGGACAATTATAATACTGAAATGTGAAATTTGTTTTTTTACAGGTGCTATCGAAATTAGCCACTCATTTTTTTAGGGTACATTCAAGACTCTGCGTAGATGAAGCTGAATTAGCTGAACATGTTGTAGGTTTGACTTGCAGCTTGGCCTCTTGCCAATTCAGGTACTGTATGGTCAACTTCAGTAATTTGAAGGCCAAAAATATAGTGCGGAAATGTAACTTTTCATTTCTTTCTCCTTGTCTTTTGGTATCCTAAAACTATATGGGTTCGTTTGGTTTGTATTTCTGAAAAATTTTTGGGAAATTTTCTCTACAAATAAGTTTTTAAAAGTAATCAAACCAAACAAATTTTTCCAAAAAAATTTCTCAAAACTTGTAAACCAAACAAATTTTCCAAACAAATCTCTCTCTCACACACATCAAATCAATCACTTTTTCCAAAACTCTCTCTCAAAATAATTTTCCAAAACATCTTTTGAAAAAAACCAAACCTAACAACTTTTCGTACTTTTTATCTCTAAAACACATCTCTCAAACACAAACCAAACATACCCTATATGTTCTTCTGTACATATTGATTTTGGTGGCCTTTATTGAAGACAAAATGCAGTCATCAAAATATGTAAAAGCAAGAGTTGAGGTTGTTTTGCCTCAAGTTGCAAAAATCTATTAATCCCCTGAGAAATGTTGAAATGATTTTCTATAAGTTCTCTATTACAGCCCTGTCTCCTTCTTGAAGAAGCAGAGACACTTCTAAGAAGGTACAATGTTGGTGTTGGAAGCTTGTTGGACACTCTTCAACACGTGCCAAGCATGTGTCCAAATGTGTCCTATTTCTTATAATTTTTGGAACCAGACATTATTCGGACACTTGGGGGACACACGTTGCCTTGACACACACCTAACATGGACACGGACACTGGTATAGACATGGGACATGGCTATTTTTTAAAAAATTAGGACAAGGACACAGTAGGGATAGGAATTTTTATTTTACTTGGTTTTAATTGCTATGTACATGAATATAAATTTTGGGCATAGAGACATAAGAGGCATCAACCTATATGTGGGTGTATTGTTGTTTTTCCCCACTTTCTCCCCTCTTTATTGCTAACATTTTACTTTGACCCAAATCAGCTTTCTAAAACTATATGAACGAAAAAATCACAAAGATGGCCTAAGACGTATCCAAACTTAGGATACATGTATCTGTAAAGTGTCTCCAAAGTGTCTTGCAAAAAAAAAAAATAATTAAAAATTTTGACAAGCCACATACCATGTCCGAAACATGGACACATATGTCCGTGGTGTGTCGGTGTCTAATATGTGTCGGACAAGAACATGACACCCATTTTGAAGTGTTTGTGCTTCCTAGATAGACATAATAGGCTCCAACTGTGAGATCCATATTCAGTGTATCCTTGCCACATATATGCTTGCTTGCTTGAGGTTATATATGTTCTTATTTCTTTCCTCTTGCACTGAATAGCACGAGTGCACCATTACCAAAGATTTCAGCTCAGATGCTTTGGGACAAGAAACTGATGACTCTAGTCAAAAGAAAGGGTTGAGCAAGTCTGGTTTGATGATTAATGGAAAGAATGGACTCAAAACACACAATTCTGCTTCGAAGGAAAGAAGTGAAGTCTTGAATTCATCATTGAAGCCTGAACGGAAACCAAGAACACCTAAGCTACATGTACTGTTTTCTTCTCCTTGAATATAATTTGAACACAATACTAAGTACTTTAGGGTTCAGCTCTAAGGGAAACAGTCATTTGTTAGGAGCACAAATAATATGATGCAGCGACTTTGAATTCTGAGCTTGTATGATTCTATATTCAGTTTACATCCTTCCTTGCATTAATTTGTATACTAATCTTCTCTTACACTGAAACAGCCTGCTAATGCTTCCGGTTCAGATGCATCAAAACGTGTAATTGATCCCAAAGGGAAGAACAAGTTGTGCAGGATTGATTCAAAAGTTCATGGGCATAAAGAAATCAAAGAACACAATTCTACGGACCAAACCGTAATCTCAAAATCATGTTTGCAACATGGAGGAAAGCAATCAAATATTTCAGAAACAGTTGAGGTACAACCGTACAAATAGCTCTTTGACTGCTTTAAATCAAACATGGAAGTATTGTTTCAGAAAATTACGGGACCTGTTTGATTGTGTTTTTGTTTTCTGTTTTCATTCTTCGGAAAACATATAATTTCACATGCACAGACAGACACATGGATTGCAAGTTGAATTCCAGTTTACCATACATTTTAAGCTTCTAATCCGTAATCAAGATTCACAAATATAGTACCACAACCTCAGATTTAACGGGCTCTACGTTGGATACACACTGTAGAAGATTTGGAGGATATGATGATTTTAAACTGTAGGAATTCACCATGTCTTTCAGATGTTTATTTGCAAGTTTATGCCAGCTTGCAGATCATATCGTAGAGTTTAGATGTAGTGCTTTACAAGAAATATCTAAAGAGTCTGAAGTGAACCCAACACTAAGCAAAGCCCCAGATTCTCCTCTGACCAACATGATCGACCCTCTTCTCTCATCATTTAAGACAGAAAAGAAAATAACAAAAACTCCATGGCGAATGAAAGGTCCAGAAGCTGGTCTGATTGATACCGAGCAAAATGCAGCAGACTCACTTATTGAGTTGATGTATCAGAAAAGAAAACATATAACCAAGCAACATCCAAGGGAAGAACAAAAGCAAAAAGCTAAATTACCTGTTAATGACAATGAGTCCAATTCAAGCTTGCATCCGAAGCCACAAAAGTAGAGGGCAAAAAGAGAGCAGCAGCAGAAAGCTAAGCCAGACTTGCATGCAGATATCAATGTAGATTCAACTTTGCAGTCTCAAAAGAAAAGGAATTATCAAAGCTCGCCAGCCCTTGGGGAGACTAAAAAGTTCAAGGGCCTTCGAATTACTCTGGCACAATTTCGTGCTGATACAGCTGAATATACAAGTGTGGACGACCTTTGCATCACTAAGTGCTCATTCACTGGTCTTGTTGAAGCTGATGAATCCTCCTTTTCTTTCGGAGGGAGGGCGAGCTCCAAAAATCTACGAAGCGGAGTCAATATTCAAAAGTTGACAATATTTTCATATGTACAAGGGGCTAATGCACCTGTATCATGTAGAGAAGAAAGGATGTTCTCCTCCAAAGTAGGTATTTTACATTCTTTTTTTTTCTTCTAATTATCATGCAAGGATTAGCAAAGAACTTGGCTTCAGTAGCTCCTATTAAAATGCCTTTGCATGTTGGTCATCTCTTCTGAAATGCCCCCAGGAATGTCAAATAATGCAGCTGGCCTGGAGGTTGCAGATGCACCAAATTCATCTGAGATGCATGAATCAGATTCATCTGCTGCAGCTGCTGGTTTGTTGCTGTTGCCGCCCTTGTGGTTGATGCTTGCTGGGCTACTGCTGCTGCTGCAATGTTGCTGTGAGGCGGTTGCTACTAGATGTTGGTCTGTTGGATAAGTTTGTGGATAGTTTGCCCGTCTTTGTTAGTTTCATGTTTTTATTTTGTTATTTGTTGTTTGTAATGTGGGTTCACAATTTGGATGTATATGGGTATTTTAGTGAGTTTACCCTTTTAGGTTTTATACACTGCTTCTAAAAGAAGTATCAGCCGTGTTTTTTTGGCTTGCACATCAACTTTAGGTGATTTCATATCAATGTTATTAGTTTGTAATAGTGGTGCCTGAGGGATGCCTCTTGTAAATCTGTAAAACTTATAAAAATATATAAATTATTTTCAATTATTTTTGTTGGTAAATGTGTCGCTAAAAGTTTATTTTTGTCCACTCATATTGTGTTGCTAGAAGTGTATTTTTAGCCAATGCCAATTTGTCGTTGCCAAAAGTAAATCTTTATCGACTAACAAATCGTCGGCAAATGGCAATATTTACCGATGTAATTGTGTTGCCAAAAGTTTACTTTTGCCCACTCATATTGTGTTGCTACATTTAAAAAAAAAAAAAAAAGCATTCTAAAACCAATCGGGCCAATTCAAAAAAAAATGCTTAGGCATTTATTAAATTTCTCCGCAACCCCAAATCTTACCCCTATAATAATACTTTAATGGCCTAAGAAGCAAGCATAAAAAAAATTCTTTGAAACAATCCAACACATATGAATCTTGAAAAAGTCCAACACATATGATTATTATCCGGCTCATAATAACAACACTTCTTAATGCATTAAAGAACCAAGTATAAAAAATAATTTCTTAAATAAGTCCACACATATGATTATTATCAAAATTAAACTTATATAATATAATAAAAAAAAGACATTCAATTACTTGAAAAGTCTAACACATATGATTATTTTCAAAATATTAAACTTAATATATAATATAAAAAGGAAAAAAAGAAGAAATTTTTTTAAAAAAAAAGACATTTAAAAATCACAATTCACATATATAGATAATTGTAACACAATCCGTGCCAATAGCCCACGGGGTAATGTGTGCTAGTATATGATTCCGTAGATTTAGCTTGCATAAGATACAACACAAAGTGCCTGCTTTCTATCTAGGCACATCAACCTGGTAACTGCATGGACCAGTAAGTCTGCACTATATTTTGGACTGCAAGTCCTAAGCCTAACCAGATTTGGAAAGAATGACAAGAAAAAGAATGAAAGAAACAAAATATCGCATGATGAAATTACATTATGCATAATATGATTTTTACAAACGCACTATAAACACTAATCTCAAACTACCATAAAATTTTCTAATTAGTTTTTTTACAGTCTAGCAAATGCGAGTTTTTTTAAATATGAGATATGTTTTCTGTTAATCAACTCAACTCCTCTAAAAGCTTAAAGTTGGCAGGGGACTGGCCCAGCCATATATATCAATGCTCTCAAACATTTGCTTTCAGATGTGATCTCCTCATATATATATATATATTATATTATATGAAATGCCAGCCAGACATTTAAAGGAACAAATGAATCGCCACATAAACTACTTGAAACAAAGACTATTAGAACCTGAGTTCCAAAAACCATGCCGAGCAGGCGGCCACACGCTTTTGGAGCTTTAAACTGCTAAGAAATAAGCGCTGCGCAATTATATCAATTTGACATTTTTCTGTTCTAACAATAGCCTAAAAATCACGCAATAGTTATGTGTAAAGAGTGTATCTGAAATGGATAAACAAAAGTGTATAAAAGTCATGTAGATAATATTTTGGGGCTGTATAGAAGCTTACTATTGAGATTCCAACTTTTTTGCCAATTTTTTGCGGCTCCCTTTATATTATCAATAGATGCCGCAGATATTCTTTAAATATGCATGTGTTTTGTGTGTGTCTATAGGAAGCATGGACAGTCAAAATGGGTGTCGTGTCTGTGTCCGACTTGTTCACGACAGCCACATGCATGTTCATGTGTCAGACAGCATCACATGGTGCGTCAACTTTTTTTTTATTTTTTTTATTTTTTTTTTTGCAGAGACACGTTTGGAGACCCTTTACAGATACATGTTCCTACGTTTGGGATACCGTCTTAGGCATCTATTGTGATTTTTTCGTCATATAGTTTTGAAGCTTGACTTTGGGTCAAGTAAAATGTTAGCAACTAAAAGAGGGGAGAAAGTGGGGCAAACCAAACGAATACACGGGCAGATATAGGTTGATGCGCGTCTTATGTCTCTAATGCCAAAATTTATATTCATGTACATAGGGGCAATTAAAACCGGCAAGTAAAAAAAAATTCCTATCCTACTGTTCGCTTGGTCCTAATTTTTTAAAAAATAGTGACCATGTCCGGCATGTCTATACCAAGTGTCCGTGTCCATGTTAGGTGTGTGTCAAGGCAAGCGTGGTGTGCCCCAAAAAAGTGTGCGCGAAATAATGTCTGGTTTCAAAATTATAAGCAATAGGAACAATTTGGAGCACTGGGCTTGCATCGTGTTGAAGAGTGTTCCAAG